GTGTGTCTCAGGGATTTTGGGCATAGGCTGAGGGGTATTTATGCATTTTCCCAAAAAATTATGGTGAAAGGATTAGCCTATACAAGTTCCTTTCATACTAAGCATATAAAATATTAACTAAGAAAAAAATTACACTTTTCATATCGGGAAATTGCCATTTATCCAAAAGTATTAAGCCTTTAACCTCCTTTGGTAATTGTTGGTATGAGAGGTAGAAGGTTCCATCTCCACTGGTAGCGGCTAATTTAGCTAAGTGGTCAGCCACATTATTTGCTTCTCTCAAACAATGGGATATATGATAATTAGCATTGCTCAAAATCTTGGTAGTATCTTGAATGATAGTTTTCAACTTCAGGTTGGCAGTATCCTTGGCTATCAACATGTTGGTGATTATCATAGAGTCAAGCTCTATGTGTATGTTGTTGAAACCATTTGCGATGCACCACTGACTTCCGAATTTTGCTGCAATAGCTTCAATATGAGTATTGCTTGTAGTGCTAAATTCATTAGTATTTAATTATATATATTTGTCTTGATGATGGGTTTAATGATGCGACAAATTTAGGGAAAGATGTCATAGTGTATGTTATTTGTAACTTTGGATTGACAAGACTCACGACAAAGATAATGTACACTATATTGGATATATGGAGACAAATTGTGAAGTCTAAAGGGTTTAAGTCAAACAGGGCCAACACATAATACATGGAGTGCAAGTTAAGTGACACATAAGGTTGTTGTGGTGAGGCTTGATACTTGATTATACTATCCAAAAGAAAGGAATTTGTAAGTATATTGGGTCTATATCAAAGGTAATATGGAGATTGATGAAATGAAGGCTCATATCCGAATTTTGTCCGAGAAAAAGGTGTCAAAAAAACTTAAAAGCAAGTTTTACAAAGTGATGCTTAGACATACCATGTTGTATGGAACGGAGTGCTGACTAGTCGAACTCTTTCCAGAACATGAAAGTTGTGAAAATGAGGAAGATGAGATAGACGTGTGAACACAATAGGAGAAATAAGACAAGAATGAAGATATCCAAGATAAAGTGGGAATGGACTTGGTGCACAAAAAAATATAGGAGATTAGACTGAGATGGTTAATTAAGACATATGAACAGGAGATGTATGAATTTCCTAGTGTGAGTACTGAGGAGAGGTGACGCATGTTCAACTTACAAAGGACATGACCTTAGATAGAAGAATATAGAGAATATAAATCACGATAAAAGACTGATAGTCAATTTGTATTGTCTCGTTTATTCTTCCATACTACTAGTTATAGTATTACTCTTGTAGTTTCTTATTTCTTCGATTACCATTAGTTTTTTTTAACATCAATTATCGTATTATCTTATTATAGTTAATGTTTTTTTCACAATATTTTGTCATGCCTTGTATGTTTAGTATATTTCCTTAATCAGTTTCTTTGCTCATGTTAAGTCAATGGTATATAAAAACATCTCTAATTTTTACTTCCAAAGGCAGGGGTGCGAGGCTTGCATACATAAAGTCTTCTCTATACCCCATTTATGAAATTGCATTACATATGTTGTTATTGAATAAAAAAGTAAAAATAATAATAATTGAGTAAGAATAAGTTTTTATAAGTATGGTCAAACCCCCACTATGTTTCAATTATTTGTCTCATTTAGATTTGACACGAGTTTAAGAAAATAATTTTTTAATTTTTTTTTATGATTTTAAATTAAAGATACATAAATATGCACCAAAATATTCTTAATTCTTGTGATGGTAAACATGTCATGTAAAAAATTGTAATTAAAAACAGAGATATTTTTTTTATTACGAACTAAAAATTAATTAAGATAAATAAATTAAAATGGAGGAAATATTAAATATAAATTACTTATAAAAATAAGGATTAATTACCTAACTATACATCCTTTTTTACCCTATTTTCTATTATTCTCTACCATTTCAAAAAGTTGCAAAAATCCAGTTTTTTCATAATTTCTCTCACTTTTCCGAATACATCACTATAAACTATTACCCTACGATTTTTTTTTTCTTTTTCATGTCTAAAATCACGTATCATCAATTATCTCCATCACTCTATTTTTGAATTTCAAATCTTTTCTCTTTTTGATTTATCAATCGCAAGTTATTGAAGAAGTAGTTTATTCTTCATCTTCTTCTTCATCTATTTTTTTTTTCTACTTCATCAGGTATTGAATATTTTTTTTAGCTTTTTCATCTACAAATTTAATCAAAGAAGGATGCATCTTCAACTTCAGAATCAATTGTGGAAAAAAGGCCCAAGAAAATGAGGAAAATGTCGAGTTGTTGGTGACTCCGGTAAGGGCTTTGGGTCGAGAGATCCATGGGTGACGCCATTGTTGAAAGTGGAAAAAAAAACTATGGGAGTTGATACAGAGCAAAAGAGAAAGTGTAGAAGGATTTCTTCCTCATTTTTTTTTTTTTGCTTTCAGTTAATCGGATTGTTGACTTTCTTTTCTGATTTCTTGTTGTTCATTTTTTTCTGATACATATGGGTTCAGATCTTTTAATGTATCTAGTTGATTTTGATTCTTAAATTAATGTATAATTCATTCGTTTTGCCTTTATGATATATTACAATTTTATCATGTACAATATATCGTTTTCAAATATTAGTTTTGATACATAACCCTAATTTATAGAAACACAAATTAGTATATATCATGTTCATAGTTAAGTATTTGATACACATTATAAATATAGTTATCTTTTACTATCGATACAGACACCGATCTTATTCAACTAGTAGAAGGCTATGTATCGATAGACACTATCAAATATTACTGTGATACATAAACACTAATGTTTTATAACAAAATCAGATTGTATCATATTCATAGTTATGTATGTATATGACACATAACTTTGTTATGTATATAACATAGTTATGTATCAGATGTTGTGATGTATCACATGTTGTTAAGTATCTGCAACACTGTTTTATAAATAAATCAGTGTATATCATATTCATAGTTTTTTGTTGTATATGATGCATAACTATATAAAATTGTCAATTTTTTTAAAAATCCGATACGATTTGAGAGAGATTTGAGAGAAGAAAATTTAAAATTTGAATTGTTTGGAGTTGTTATTTGGAAGAGATTGACATCAATTTAATTTGTATGATTTGGGGAACTGACATTTAATTTTATATTTAATTTCCTTTTTAATCTCAACAAACTAGTTGTATAATGTATCAATTGTGATGTATCCGGATGACAACAATTTTAAGAAATTTTTGTAAATTGAAAAAAAATAGGAATATGATATAATTTGCTCCTTATCCTATGAATTTTAATTTTTTTACTAAAAATAAATATATTTGAATAGGTAGGTATTTCCATTTATCAGTTAGAAATTTGAATTTTCATTCATGATAACCCCCTAAATTTCTATATCTGTACACGTGCCCCGCCAAATTAACCGAAAACATTAATACGAATTTCCTTTAAAAAAAATATAAGGAGAATTCTAGAAAGAACTTTCATTTCTAGAACTACCTACTCTTCTCCAACACAAAATCGCAATTTCGCAGCGAATCGAAATTACACAAAAAAAACTTGCAACAATGGCATCTGCAGGAAAATCAGTTATCCAAACTCTAAAACGCTACTTGAAGAAGCCATGGGAGATCACAGGGCCTCAATCGAGTCCAGAATATGTATCTGCCGTACCAAAAGCTACAGAGTACAGAGTTACCTGCCCTGCTACAGCACAAGCTCAAGCTATAATCCCCAACTCAAATCCCGATATGGTATATGATATCAAGTACTTCTCTCGTGACCAGCGGCGTAATCGTCCTCCTATAAGGCGCACTATTCTTAAAAAAGCTGATGTTGAGAAGATGATGAAGGAGAAGACATTTGATATTGATGATTTTCCGAAACCCTACTTAACTGCTAAAGTTGAGGAAGATGATAATGCTATTGGTGGTGGCTACCAGAAATGAAGGTACCTATATCAGATATCGCTTATTTAATTTCTCCTCTCACTCTGTCCGTCTCAATTTAAGTGTCTTATTTGGTCCATTATCATATTTAGTAGGCGTTTGATCATGTTTTATTGTAAAATTCGAATATCCATGGGTCATGATACTTTGTGTGGCATGATATTTAGTAAGTTTTTCAATTCCTGCATCCTATTTGCAAATTCAACACATGATTTAGGGAACTTTATACAGATTTTTAATTTAAGACCATAAAATTCAAAAGTTTCGTTTATTTCTAGAACTTCGTATCAGGGTAAATTAAGACATTTAAATTGGAGCGGAGGTAGTAGTAGTTTTAGTGCATTTGTCTATTTATTCTGTTAGGTGTGCTTTCTTTGGGAAAAATATTCTTCATGGAAGTATTTTTGGCGGGAGATCAGTGTTTGGTTGGATATATATAAAAGTGGGTGGTATATCATATATGGTAATCCTACAAATTGTGGAATAAGGTATATATGAGGATGATGTTTTGGTGATAATTTTGATATTGAGGGTGGATAGCAAATGTAAAACTAGTTTGATTGAAGCAAGTAATGTGAAATATATTGGAATTGGGATATAGATATATAGGAAAATGACATGACATCTCTCGCCCATATGTGGTAGAAGCTTAGGGGAGTAACTAAATACTGGAAAAGTTCCGGGAAAAAATAAATAATTCTTGCCATGCCAAATGCACAATGGAATGATTAGGTGTTGGTTTTAAATCCGTGTATTCATTTCAGGAAATTAGAACTTCTTGTTAGAGAGATTATTCAAATACTAGTCTTTGACAGGTAATGCATGGTTAGCTTTGAATAAGGAGCGGAGACAGATACATGATGTTGATTGATATTCTGATAGGAGAAAAAAAAGCTAGTAAGGAATCTGTTTCGTATTTGATCTTTGAACTGCAAATGAAATATCAAAGAAAGAATTTGGTGACTGTTATAGAGAAAGTCTGCCATATAAGATTGTACAAACATTACACTGAAGAGTAAAAAGCTAAAAAACATAGAGGAAACAAATGCAATTCTAGTGAAAAAGGGATGCTTTTAGAACAACAGAGATAGCAGAATATATCCCAAATTGTCTATGTATTACATTGCCTTCAAGAGTTACTTTTTTTTTTATAGGAAGTAATATCATTAAAAGGCATCAAGAAAATGCACATAGAACATAGTATAAAAGACTATGCTATAATTAGGAAGCTTACAAAATCCAAAAACTTCTCTGGGCAATTTAATTACAGGGGTTAGAAAGTTCCAACTGAAAAGACTTATAAGACAACTAGCTTACAAAATATGTGTTGGAGTTGAGATTCCATCAAAACATCTACGGTATCTTTCATTCCAAAGATGCCAGAAGATAGTAGTGGCACCCTAGATAGATTGTACTTTGTGGTTTACTCTTTCACATTATGATTTTGGTTCTACAGTAGATGATGTGTACTTGCAAAATCTGTAACTAGTTGCCATTATTTACCAGTTAAGATAATGAGTCATATCACTATCTTTTGCTGTTTGTTCGCTTACATATGTTCAATCTGGGATAGAGAGGACTGCGGTTCGAACTTCTAACTGTGAGAGAACTTTGGGGATTCCCCATGGTTCACAGTGGAAGTTTTTGTATGACCAAATTATAGGAAGAAAGAAAACTAACACTAGAATCTAGAATTTCCTATATGTAAAACAGTATTCGGTATACAAGACAAAGTCATTGTAGATCTTTCATTCACGGTGAGAATTAACTTCACATTAGAGGAGTTGAGACTTTGTTGTAACATTTAGAATTGATGGCTCCCTATTCTCTACTAAATGAGATGATGTTTTTAGAAGTATCAAGCAATCCAGTTACATACAATTTTTTAACTTAACTAGAAACATCTTGCTTAAAATTTTCACAGATGACAAACCTACAGTGATCTCATTTGGACAGTAGGAAGAAGGTAATTACTTTAGATTCAAAGACATATAGTTAGAGGTAGATGGTTTCACAAAAATTAAAAGGAAGAATCCTTGCTTTTGAGTTAGAAGGCTAACCAAGCTTCTTATTGGCTCAAAAGTTGGAACTTGAGTATTTTTCTCAGACTGGAACGAAGGAAGTACTGGAGAAAATTAGTAGTATAAACGAGATCTTAAACAGGATGAAGAGTTTGCACAGAAAAATTACTGATCAAAGGATTTCTAGGAAGTTACTAGCGCTGAGGAAAGATCATGAAGGTGAAAATTTATTTGTCTATGGTTGCCCAAAAAAAGGGGATGCAGGGACCATTCCTGAAGGATGAGGTAGCTAATATTTCTAAGCCCTATGAAGGAATTAAGTTTACTTAATGTTTCACTGTGGCCTTTTTTTCAGGAATGTTGGCGAATTATCATAGGATACATACGTAATGCTCTAAAGTAATTTTATTTTTTTATATGTTCAAGACTTCCAAAAGGGCTTCAATGCATCTTCCTTTATTGCTTTGACACAAAAAAATATGTGGTATAGAAGAAATGAGGGATTTCAAGCTATTATCCTCGATCGAGACAAGCATAAACTTTATTGGTAAGTTGAGACCAACATATGGGAAATCATTAGAAAACTGCTAACTACAGATCACTAATGTTGTTTCAATTGTCAACAAATGCCTGAAAAGAATTGGGACCAGGCATGGTTTGAACTCGTAAACCGGTGGTTGGAAAAGCTTTTACCATGTAAGCATTTCCTATATCTTTTGGAAGTTAGACATGGGATGTGGCATCACCACATACAAATTCTCAATTCTAATTAATGGTGCTTCTCCGAGGGGATTGAGGTAAGCAGATCCCTCGTCACCCTTACTGTGATGGAGGGACCTCAGCAAGATGCTGGAATCTACTTTGAGGAGGAGATGGGATGATGATATAAGAGTTTGGACATAGACGGTGATCAAGAGAACATGTCACACATTTTTTATGCTGATGACACATTTATTTTTTGAGATGTGACTGAAGTATCTCAGACTCATTCTGTTGTTCTTTTTCTGGCTGCTTTTGTATTGCATATAATTAACCAAAAAGTTCCGAAACACAGTCAATGAAGTTCTAAGCATACAATGACCGGCAAAGGTTCTTGCTTGCAGAGATGAAAATAGGAGGGACTTTCTATGAGAAGGCCAGGGAGAAGAAAAAAACTTTCATTTGATAAAGTTCAAAAAAGTTACTATTAAAGAACAAATGGAGGGGGATTATAGGCATAAACTTGAATCACATTACAAATGCACCTGTATTGGGTAAAATTGGCTAGAGCGTGTGGTGCCTGTAGTATCTAGGGGAAGTGAGGAGTCGTCGACCAGGATAAGCTCCCGGAGGGGTGTCATGGGAAACAGAGGAAAGGAACTCACCGAAAACACGCAAAGGATGCATGTACAACCGAAGAGAACGGACCAGTGACTCTAAAATTCCATATCAGTAAATATATTTAATGAAAGAGTCATTGGGTAGCTTTGTAGGTGAAATACCGATGACTTTTGAATTATAATACAAAGAAAAGTGCCTTAACTTGTGACCCTTCTTTGATGCGCATTCCTTTAGGTTGTAGAAATGTAATTATGAATAACCCTTGTGAATTCGTGGAGTTTATTCATTGAAGGAGATTATTTCGTATTAATTCTTAACTAATGGAATTCAATCGCTTTTCACCAGGCTCTCTAGTCATGGCAAAATCGTCCTGCTGCAATAATGATGTTTTGCTCTATATATTATGTGATGCCTCTTGAAATAAATTGATACACAAACACGAATTAGTGAATATATATATATCCGTGTGTATTCTCTTGCGTAAATTGGTCAGAGTCGGTTGCTGCTAGCTTTCTGTTGTTTTGATTGTAAATCACCCCATATACACATTTAAGAGTCAATATTACATGTTTTAAATCTACTTTAAAAAAATTCTTGCTTATAACATATCACTAATTATTTATAAATTAATTAAATTTTACTTTATTAAATAAGTAATTTTTTATAATTTTATATTATTATTAAATTATTTAAATAAAGAATACCCCATAATTATCTCTTACACAATTATAGGGATTTTACATTGATTACACTTCCTTATTTAATGTTATACTCATAACCTCTCATTAGTCAATCTCACCACCCTTCCCCCACACATATCCAACTATACACGCTATCACCCCACTTTCACCTTCTTCTCTCTCATTTTTCTCACCAGCCAACTACACCAACATTCAATCTTTCGTCCAAATTTTTTTCCCAACAAAATTATGTCTAAGAAACCCATTGAAACGCCTCAAAAGAGTCCCAGATTGGGTAAAGGAACATCTAATGATGATGTTCATGTTTCAAATTTTAATATATTAACTCAAACCCCCCCCCCTCCTCCCCCGCCTAAAATTGTTGAAAATCCGGTGAATATTCAAAATCCGGCGATGGATGGTTCATATAAGTTGAAGGAGCGACAAAGAGAAAAAAAATGAAGAAAAAAAAAGGTCACCCCTGCAAATCAAAAGGGGAAGAAGAGGAAGGGGAAAATTGTTGAAACCCCTTCTGATTCCGATTTTGATTTTGTTACTGAAATACAAAAAGAAAAAAAGAAAAAAAAACAAATGTAGAAGTTGGAGCATCTCAAAACCATTAACAAGAAGAACAACAAAAAGTTATTTTTTTTAACTTTTGGACAATTTTTTTGTGTTTAAGTATTTGATGATATATAATATCATATGTTTTCTTTCAGGCAAATACCGTTTACATATGAATTACTGATTGCCTATTACAATTTCAAAATACTATTTTGAAAATATCAGTGTATTTCCAAACTGTACATTTATTGGATGAAATCTGTATGAAATCTAATTAATATGTGTATGACTACGTTTTAATGTTTTGATTTTAATTTTTATATGAATTGTGATATAATAATGGTATACAAATGGTATGAATTGCGTTTTAACATTGGTGTGATTGTCTATTAACTGTGTTTATGGTATAAATTATTAAATTGGTATGAAAATGGTATGATTTGTCAAACTACTGATTTTTTCTAAAAAAAATCACATTATGCTTACTTTATATTCTAAACATGTTTTTGGATGAAACATGTATGAAATCCGATTAATACCTGTATGCCTATGAGTTTAATATTTTATTGTTGGATAATGTATGAATTGTGATATAATATTGATAGACAAATGGTATAAATTGTGTGATTATATGAATTTATCAATTTTTATACATGTTATTTG